CTTTGGTTGCAATGTTTCGGCTGAAAACACCGGTCAGTCTCACTGCAAACTATGTTGTTTGCCTTGACGATAGCCAAAGTTGTTCGGCCGAAACTATGGCAACATAGCAGAAGTTTTAACATCGATCCTCTGCTTGCATTTGTAACCATCGAATGGCTACGACTCATAAGCTCTGCTCAGTCGCTGTATTTTAGCATTAAAACCAATGCAGAAGTAAAACACTGCATTACGAACAGAATATAGCGAATCGTGACAACTTCGACTGCAGTTCCTCGATCCCTCGTAAACCATCTTAATGGTCCACCGAACCCTTGTCTGCTGTGAACTTCTACATCGCGGCTCGCACGCCCTATCAGGAGCTGAACCAATCCAAAAAACCATGACCTCGATCAAAGTCAACCTCGCTACTATGCAACAACACTCTGCTGACCGAAAACGAAATACATACGATAAAACGATGTGTGAAGATAAACGTATCAGTACGGACCGGCTACGGAACTGAAACAAGTTTACTGTATCGGCCATGATACAAACAACAAACAACAGTGCTTCGATACGCGTTACACTAGTTGTTACAAGTCGAAGCGTGGTAATCTGCTGTATCGCCGTCAGTACAATAAACTTGTGTTTCACTGACATAGTGAAAGGCCGTTCTTAAGATTTTCTAAGATGGTATGTACTTCGTTTACTGTCAACAACTTGGTTCTAAGTAGGCGCAGCGGGATTCTGTGGTGATCGCGATCGCTGGATTTGGCTCGTCTCCGTTCGAGTGGTCTGGGAACCGCGGCGTCGATAAACACCGCAAACACTGTATGGCACATGAGCTGGACGTAAGGGGACAGGTGGCCGTTAGCGGCCATCCCACCTTCAGTGGTACTTAAGGCGCGCGTTGTGCTTGTCGACCTTCAGCCGACTGTTGTCCACTGTCCAAAAGCTTAAGGCGAGGCGATGAGGGTCAACGACAGATTAATAAGCTGTACGGCTGCACGTCACGAGCGATGCGTAATGCGCGTTCCTCGTGCTAGCCGGCCGGCTGATGACCGCTAAAGCGATGCTGTAATTCGATGTCAATGCGGTGCGTGATGAATGTGATCGTTCGCACAATGGACCGTTGTAACGGCCATAATTGATCCTCTGCCCCTGCCCAACTCCCGTATCCACGTGACGTGGCACAAAACATGTGCAAGTAGTTTGCGTTGCTACAATCGCAACCGCAGTGGCCAACGACGACCACCGCTAATCCCGTTGTTGCCCAGCAAAGAAACGTAGCAGG